TTTTTTTGGTACCGGGTATCAAACTTGGGTCCTTGTGTTTGCAAGGCAGGCAGCGGAACCACTGAGCTAAATCCCTGGCCCAATTTTTTGGTTTTTTTGAGACAGGGTCTCACTATGTAGTTGAGACTGATCTGGAACTCACTATGTAGCCCAGGCTGGTCTCAAACTCACAGCGATCCTCCTGCCTCAGCCTCCCAAGTGCTGGGATTACAGGCATGTGCCACCATGGCCAGCTATTGCATGTGTTTTGAAGATAAGATACCTGAGGGCCGGGGATTTAGCTCAGTGGTTCCGCTGCCTGCCTCACAAGTGCAAGGAACCTAGTTGGATTCCCGGTACTAAGAAAAAAAAAAATAAAGATACCTGAGTTACAGTGATAGTAAACAACTTACCTGAGGTCACAGTTTGGAAAAGGCAGATTCAGCATTGAATTGCAGATTTACTTTTCTCCAGTTTGTACCACAGTTTAATTTCAAAGTTTCTCTGGATGTGGAACTAAAAATACTCCAATTGCCTAGTTAGCTGAATGAGCCATATTAGTCTTGTTGCTGCTGTCTAGCTTTTATGTGAGTCTGACTCTTACTGTTGTCCTTTTTTCTCTACCCTCCCTGAGTCTGTTCTAATACTTATGGAAGGCTTATATACTTTTTTCTTCTGGGCTATGACAAGAACTATCTCACTGGTTCTCTTGTGTCAGCTTCACCTCTTCCCATTCCATCACTCAGCTGCTTTCCAGGCTTACCTTTCCAATATTTGAGTTTGATTAAATCACTCCTGTGCTTAAAATCTGCCACATGTGTCCCCCTGCTCACACAGAGTATGAGCATGTTGGTTCTTCATGGTCTGGCTGATGAGTAGCTCTCTGCTTTATCTTTGCACCTTTCCCTGCTAGTAAGTTCTACTCACATTCTGCTGCTTGCTCTGTCCCAATTATACCTTCTCATCCCCCTGCCTCGGATGATTTTCTTGCAATGCTAACTAATTGAGAACAGGCCCTGCTTCTTCTTCTTCTTTTTTTTTTTTTTTTCCCCCAGTACTGGAATTCAGATGAACCCAGGACCTCACTCATGCAAGGCAGGTGCTGTACCACTAAACTACATAGTTAGCTCACAGTTCCTTATTTTTAAAAAATCAATTAAAAGCTCGGTGTGGTGGTGCATGCCTGTAATCCCCCACACTCTGGAAGCTGAGGCAAGAGAATCTCTGTGAGTTCAAGGCCAGCCTGGACTACAAAATGAGTTCAAGGCAAGCCTGGATTACATAGACCCTGTCTCAAAACACACACACACACACACACACACACACACACTTAATTCAAGTAGTTCCTCTTCTCTGATAGAAGTGAGATAGAAGTGAGGCAGTTTCTTTTGTGTCCTACTGAATCTTGTATATGTTCCTATTCTGCATCAGTACTGTACTGTGGCCTGTATTTCTTTACATATATTATTTCCAACTAGGTCATTGTTAGGGACATTTTGCTTTTATTTCCATCCTCAGACCTACTACTTTGGCATATAGTAGGTGCTTAATAATGTTTGTAGAATGAAGGAATAAGGAAATATATAGCATTGCTATATCTTTAAAGGGGAGCATACGAGTTTTAGTAACTTTGAAAATAAATGTAGATATATAATTATATTCAACATACTTTCTCCCTTTAGATTCAGAACTTGGGGAGCGAATCCTATTTATTGTGCAGGTAAGTGGTTATTTCCTGATATAGTCTGCCTGCTTTAAAGTGACTGTCTAGTACTCTATAATAATTTTGTTGAAAAGGATACCTAATACATCTTTGAGAGGAGGTTAAGGACCAAATTCTACCCCTCACACAAGTTAGAACTATTGGTGAGAACATGAAGTAATAGTTAAGAGCAAGAGGCCTACAGTATGTTTGATTTTTTTGACTCTACCATATCCTTGTTCTGTGATCTTTACTTCTCTGTGGCTTGCTTTCCTCATTTTAAAAAATAGGGATAGAGCCAGGTGTGGTGGCACATACATGCAATCCCAGTTCTCTTGGAGGCTGAGGCAAGAATATTTGAAAGTTTGAGCCTAGCCTGGACAACTTAGTGACTTAGCAAGTTCCTGTCTCAAAATAAATAAAATTTTAAATAAGGGCTAGGGATGTAGCTCAGTACAAGGGCTCTGGATTTAATACTAGTTCCACATATACACTAAAGTAAGAAGATAATACTAGTACAAACTGCAATGAGCTATTTAAAGATTTAATGAGATAAAATACATAAAATGCTTTTAAAAAGCAGCTATTATTATTATTATTAATACAGCTATTACTTCAGACTTGTCTTTCAAGTCCACAGTCCACCAGGTTAGGGCATTTCTCACAATGTTTTATCCAAAATGAATGTCCACTCAATCTGATTAAATCAATCTCTGTGTCAACCCATTTACTTAACATTTTTGTTTTGTCTATCCTGTGATAAACTTCAAAGTAGTTGTTAGATTCTAATGACATCTCTCATGTGACTACAGAGTGTCCGAAGTAGAGGAATAAGTAAGGAATAAAGAAGGGAACTAACATTGACTCAGTGACTACTATGTGCAAGGCAGCATGCAAGATCTCTATATATGTTAATTATTTTAGAGAATGGGACAGCAGTATATAGGGAATCACCATTGCTACTAGACCCCAAACCCAGCACCTCAAAATACAGGCTTCTTTTTATTAATCATTCTCAACAAATGTGTTTTATTAGGTGTTGGGGAAACAAAAATAAGAGGATATAGTACTTACCATTTAAAAACTTCTAAGAAATTATTTTGCTCCTAAGAATAATACAGTGAACACAGAATCTCTACATACCACTTAGTTCTGTTGTTAATATTTTGTCATGTTACCTTTTATTAGACTTCATATTTAAATGCTTTTCTATGCATATCTAGAAATAAGGACATTCTCTATGTTGTGTTAAAGAGACAAATCATGATCTCACTTTAAAAAGTTAATAATATGCTTAAGCCGGGAGTGGTGGTACATGCCTGTAATCCCAGCACTCGGGCGGCTGAGGCAGGAGGATCACTGTGAGTTCAAGACCAGCCTGGGCTACATAGTGAGTTCCAGGTCAGTCTCAACTACATAGTGAGATCCTGTCTCAAAAAAAACACAAACAAAAATTATATATAAATAGTAGGACAAGGTGTTAGACATTGATTTTTGTTTTGTATTTTGAGACAGGGTCTGGCTATGTAGTTCAGAATGGCTTGAACCCATTTTGGATCCCAGGCTGGCCTTGAACTCACAGTAATCCTCCTGCCTCAGCCTCCTGAGTGCTGGGATTACAGTCATGTACCACCATGTCAGGCAGGTGCTAGGGATTGACCAAGGGCCTTCCACATACAGAGCACACATACCAGTACTGAGTGATACCCCCAGGCTCTTTATATCTTTCAGAAAAATGTAATATACACATGGTATATTATGTGTTTATATAGAGTACCTAATGCTGAACATTTAGACTATTTTTTAGTTTTTTGCTATTTAAAAAATTGCTGCAGCAACCATTTTTATATATCTTTATAAACTTGTTCCTGTACATTTATAAGATAAACTCTTGGAATTGAAATTGCTGAGTCAGCAAAGTATGAATTGAAAATTTGGGTATTGCCAGATTGCCCTTCAGAGAAGTTCTGTTAATTTTTATTTATATTTTCCATCCCAGACTGGGCCAGAAAATCTTTTTCTTTTTCCCAGAGAAGTATTATATCTTGTTTTAATTTTAATTTCTTGAGAGAATTTGCCATCTTTTTTTTTTTTTTTTTTTTTTTTTCCGGGATTGAACTCAGACCCTTGTGCTTACAAGGCAGGCGGCGAAACCACTGAGCTAAATCCCTGGCCCTATGAGAATTTGCCATCTTTTCATATGTTTATTTTACCTTGTGAACTGCCCCTCTATTTTTTTGCCCACTTTTCTATTATTTATTTTTTTCATTTTCAATTTGTAAGATTTTTTTTTTTTTTGATACCTAGGCTTGAACTTAGGACCTTGAGCTTGTGAAGCAGGTTGCAGCATCAATGAGCTAAATCCATGGCCCTCCTGTAAGAAATTTTAATGTAGTTTGTACACAATAAGGAAATTAGTAATTTTTAAATTTCTATGCTTTGTATTTTTCCCAGTCAGCTGTCCTTGACTTTATTTTTTTACTGTAACAGTTTTATATTTTTAATATATCTTAATTTACTGAGTTATGATTTCTAGATTTTGTTTTATTCTTAGAAAGATCTGCTAGGTACGGTGGCTCATGCCTATAATCCCAGCAATTGGGAGGCAGAGGCAGGAGAAACAACAGTAGTTTGAGGCCAGCCCAGACTACATAGTAAGTTAAAGACCAGCCTAAGCTACATAGGGAGACCCTGTCTCAAAAAACAAAAAAACAAAAACAAACAAGCAAAAACATCAGTACTCCAAGATTTTTTTTTTGCAATCTTTTATGTTATCTTCTGGTATTTTATTTTTCTTTAAGTAACTGATCCATCTGATCAGAAGTAGGGTAGGAATGTAGACCTTCCCTCAAGATGCTAGTAAATTGTTTCAGCATTTATGCATCTTTATATAGGTTTGAGAATGTCACTTTTATCATATACTGTTTCTCATATATATCTGGGCCTATTTTTAAACTTAATCTTGTACCGTTTTTCTGACTTTATATTTGATGCTACTATCAAAATGTTTCAGTACTATTGATTACAACATATAGTTTTGTAGTTTTGCTTTTTTTGGGGGGGGGGCATCAGGGATTGAACTTGGACCTTGTGCTTACAAAGCAGGTGGCAGAACCACTGAGCTAAATCCCCAGCTGTAGTATATTTTAGTATCTGATAGCTACCTAATTCTAAGGTGGCCTTTTATTTTTAAAGGTTGGATCAACAGGGCATGTTAAACTAGGTATGGATATGTATGCTTATAATCCCTTTGAGAGACTGAGACAGGAGGATCATGAGTTTAGGCCAGCCTGGACTACAGATGAGACCCTGACTCAAAAACCAAAAAACAAAACAACAGTACTATTGAATAAGATCCAATCCAATCCTTTTGAAATAGAGAGCTAGAGGGTAACAACAATTTATTCAAATGTTTACAACGTGGAAAATTTTGTTAGCTCCAAGATTTTTTAGTGTAAATAACACTATGGTAAACATCCTTATACACTAATCTTTGTGCCCTGGTCTAATTTACTCAGGACACATTTCCAAAAGTAGCACTATTGGGTCTAAAGAAATGCACTTAATTTTTCTGGTACTGGGGATAGAACTCAGAACCTTGCACTTGTGGGGTAGATGCAGCAAAAAATGCACATTTTAAAAACTAGTGATACCTATTACCAAATTGCTCTCTAGCAATTATATTTACTATTTGACACTTGAGAATCCTATTGCATATAATCATTAACATTAACTGATATTTTTAATATTTGCTAATATGTATTGTAGGCTTTAAAATGCTGTAGTTAAAAAATGCTATAGTTCATAGTTTGTATGTCTTTGATAACTCCATTTGAAAGAAGACAATTTTGTTGCTTCCTCTTTTCTTTCTTTTTTTCTTTTTCTTTCCAAGATTTTAACCTAGGAGCCGGGCGTGGTGGTGCATGCCTGTAATTCCAGCACTCACGAGGCTGAGGCAGGAGGATCACTGTGAGTTTGAGACCAGCCTGGGCTACAGAGTGAGTTTCAGGTCAGTCTCAACTACATAGTGAGACCCTGTCTCAAAAAACCAACCAACAAAGAAAGATTTTAACCTAGGACTACCCTGGATCAAATTTAGGGCCTCATTCGTGATAGGCATATACTCTACTACTGAGCTGTATCTCCAGCTGTGGCATTTTTTCATAGGTTCTTTGAAATATCTTTATAGTCACATATTTCAAAATTGATTGTAATTATATTCCAAAAAGAAGAGGAAGGAGCAGTGCTCTATCCCTACCTCAGTTTTCCACTTTATATATGGGCCCTGGCTACCATCCAAGCTGGCTATATCTGAGGATGGACCTGATTTTGGTGACCATCTTTTTCTTATTAACTTAAATGTAACAGGGAAGTAAATCTTTTGCAAAAGGGAAGGGAACCAAGAGATAGAGGGAGTGGAGAGGGAGAAAAGGGAGAAAAAAATAAAAAAGGAATTAAGATGTATTATACACATGTAACCAACTCTTCATGATGAATGTAACCATTATCTACTGCAACACACTAGTAAACAATAGAAGTAAATTCCCATTTTAAAAAGTCAGGTAGAAGTAAACATATAAGGAGAGGTAAAATAGAGGGAGTTTAGAGTGCTCTTGTCACAATGTGAGCAGTCAAAAAAACCTGATATATTCAAATTCCAAGTAATTAGAAGAACTGAAAGGATCATGAAAAGAAATTTTGATTGAAAAAAAAATAAGTGGGCAGCTGCCAGGGACAAATCATTGCGGATCATCTGGTAAAATATCTCAAGAACCATTTTTGTTTTGTTTTTTAAATATACACTTACTGAGCATATGCTGTTGCCAGGTGTTCACATTGTCTGTGCCCTTGAGGGACTTACCATCTATCTAATGGAGAGAATATCCTGTAATTAGATTCTTAGGGCTATCCCAGCATTTTTCCCCTTTCCCTACCTGTATAGCCTGCTAAACATGCTTGTTCTAGTTTCAGAGAAGAGATAAATAAAACAAAGTTGTTTACCTCCATCCTAGATTCGTGAACTTAGTTCCCACTTTAGTAAACAGATGTTAAAGGACATTTGTCCTTGGGACTTACAAAGGAAAGCAGAGCGAAGTAGAAGAAATCAGCAAGCATATGCATACATCTTATAATTGTGGTCAATGAAAGATTTTTAAAGCTTCTTGAAACCTGGATTTTTGTGTCTTAGTGAAGAGTGGCATTTTTTTCTCAGGAGCCTGCAATGTTAATGTAGCAACAGGAAACCCAGTTTTATGATACAAAGAAAAGGGAAAGGACCCAGTTGAACTTACTGGAAATCAGACGCTTTCAAACTCATACATTTTATTTTTATTTATTTATTTATTTATATTTTCCTTAGCATTACTAGTAACTTTTAATTTTTTTTAAATTTTTTTTCTTTTATTGAGTTTATTGGTACATTTTAGGTATACAGTACAGTTACATTCATTATTGAGATCTTGTACCTTTACATGACAGGTGAAACTCATACATTTTACAATTAAAACAACTGATTAATTTAACCAAAACTTTCATTTAAGGGAGGGAAATGGTTTTTTTTGGTTTATTTTTGAGACAGGGTCTCACTTTATAGTTCAGGCTGGCCCTGAACTCATTATGTAGCTCAGGCTAGCCTCGAACTCTAGGCAATCCTGCTTCTTCCTCCCACTGGGATTACAGGTGTGAGCCACCACACCTGGCTGGAAATGGTTAAATAGTGGCTTGAACCAGCTCTTTAATTAATCAGTTGCTGTAATTATAGGAATTGTTCCAAACTGAATTTATTTTTTCCTTTTTAAAAAAATTTTATTGGTACATTGTAGATGTGCATAATGATAACATTTATCATAGGGAATTTGTACGAAACTGCAAATGAGAAACTGAGGCAAGCATTTGTTACTCTTTGAACTTCAGATGTATCATCATGTCAAAGATCAGTTTTCCTTCTGTGTTTTGAAGTCACCAGTGGGCTTCCAAGCAGATCTGCTTACAGAACAACATAGCCATTCCTTTTTTTGGACCCTACCCCTGCAGGCTGAACCCTCACTGCAAAGACAGACTGAAGTCAGGTGTGGTGGTGCACATCTGTAATCCCAGCACTCAGGAGGCTGAGGCAAGAGCATCACTGAGAGTTTGAGGCCTGCCTGGGCTACATAGTGAGTTCAAGGCCAGCCTGAATTACAGAGCAAAACCCTGTTTCAAAAAATGGAAAACAAAAACAAAGAAACAAATAAATCTCACAACATTGCTCTCATCTCCACTGAATTTCTTTGCAGCAAAAGAAGTAATTATCTGCTTTTCCATCATTGTTCCTTGTATACCTTGACTATCTCATAGGAAAGTAGCATTTAAAAAAAATTTGGTAGCTGTCCCAGATACATTTGTTGTCATGTAATATATATCATGGTTAAGGTCCATAATATCCCTAGATTGTCTTGATAAAATACATAATGAGGATTTTAAATATAGGGAAGTTCTCTGAAGCCAGGGCTATCTCTAATTGGCCTGACAGAGCAGATTTGCTTGGAATCCCATTTTAGAAAAGAAGGGTCTTTTGGTACATAGTGGCACATCCCTATGATACCAGCTGCTTTGGAAGTTATAGTGGGATGATCCAAAGTTTGATGCTAGCCTGGGCAATGGAGTGAGACCTTGTCTCAAAATAAGATTAAACGGGACTGGGAGGCTGGGCGTGGTGGCGCATGCCTGTAATCCCAGCACTCGTGAGGCTGAGGCAAGAGGATCGCTGTGAGTTCGAGACCAGCCTGGGCTACAGAGTAAGTTTCAGGTCAGTCTCAACTACATAGTGAGACCCTGTCTCAAAAAAAAGGGACTGGGAGGATACCTTGTAGAATATCTGCCTTCCATGAGCAAGGCTCTAGGTTCAAACTCCAATACCACTGAAAGGAGTATGTGTTTGGGGGTGCTAAGAAACCTTTCACTTGATGTCATTTAGGTTTCTCCACACCACCTATTGTTGCCCCCTGATAGAGTGGTGACCCTAAGGAGGAGCCAGAAGGAAAGGGAGCAGAACCTAGACTAGGACTTCTCCAGAAAATAGAGAATGAGCAAGATAGGCAGACATAGGAAGCCTGTGCAGAGCTGATTCCAGGGGAAGAGTAGCGATAGAGAACTCAGACCAGAGTTAGGAAAGATCAAGTCTAGCCAGATTTTGTATTCTAGAAATTCAGATGTGATGACCTAGGACAGTGGTGGTGAACCTATGGCATGTGTGCTGCAGCGGGCTGTTTGTATCATTGAAATCTCTAAAAGGTTTGCTATCACTCACTTAGGAATTATGGCTATGGGCTGTGCAGTCAGATGGACCCAAGTTTTAATGGCAGTTCTACCTCTTACTTGCTGGGTTACTAGTTGGTCATGTCACCAGATTTGTTGTTGGTTTTTTTGGTCATCAGATTTTTTAAAATCATTTTTAAAATTTATTAATGAGGATTAAAAGGGAATATATGTATGTGTATATGTATTTATGTGAAAGCAAGATATAGGCAACAAGTCCTTCCTTGAAGGGGGTTTTCGGTGACACCTGTCAGGATCCACCACAATATAAATGTTATCAAGGGCATCTTTTTGCCTAATAGCAGTATACATATGTATAGTTTTATGCCAAAGTTTTTTGTTTCTGTTGTGTTCATTTAATAATATGCTGGATATTTTCTTTATCAACATAGATAAATCAAATTAGATGATTTTTTTCGATGATTTTTGTTGTTTATTTTTTGGTACTGGGGCTCAAACCTGGGTGCTTGTGTATGTCAGGCAAGCAATCTATTGCTGAGCTACATCCCTAGTGCTAAATGATTTTTAAAACTTTATAGAGCTCTGTGATCCTCTTTTTTGCTGGTTATTTTTTGCTTCCTGATTATTTCTCTGTGTAAACCCCATTGAAAACTTCAAAGGAATTATTGCCTGTTGAAGAACAAGAGATGAGAGCCCCATGAGAATATATTTTTGTCCCTCTCTTTGCAGTGGCTTTTGCAGTGTTTCCAAGAAAGATAGGTGATGGTGATTGGATGTATTCCAGGGGTTAAATGGAGAGAAAAGGAGGGCAAACAGAATCTGTCCAGGATCAAGAAATAACTGGTTGTTTAAACCACCAAGAGGCCATTATTTCTCAATTCTGCAGTGAAGAATTTGTCTTCTGACAATCTCTCTGTCCCTTGAAGAGCCTAGAAAGAAGTTTGTCATACTTTCTCTCTTTTAGGTGGCAGTCTACTGAGTACCAGTCGGCAGTACAAGACAAAACCCACTCATGGCATTGGAAAATACAAGCACCTAATTGAAGCACAAGAGGTAAGGGGCAGGGGACTGCCTTAGAAAAGGATAGTGTGAAAATTTTGCAAATACCTGAAGATCGTATAGGGAAGGTCACAGGCTGGAAATATTAGAGACAGAAAGGATAGGCAGTTGGCCCTTAGTCCACTTTGGTTATTTTTCTTTTTGGTGCTGTGGATTGACCCCAAGACCTTGTACATGGTAGGCAAGTTCTTTCCCACTGAGTTTCTTCCTCAGTTCCCATACCTTTTGTCAGATTCTTCACAAAAGTTGAGAAACTTTGGATGAGAATATCTTCAAGAGTTTTCGATTGAGATACAATGATGCCATGGAATATTTATTGAATATTTTTCTGTTTGTTTTGAGGTAGGGTCTCCCTATATAGCTCAGGCTGACCTTGAACTTACTGTGTAACTCAGGATGGCGTCAAACTCAGGGTGGTTCTCTGCCTCAGCCTCTTCGATTTTCTTTTTTTTTTCCCTTGTTCCTTCTTTCCTTCCTCCTGTCTTGTTCCCTTCTCATTTGAACATTTTCTTCCCATTTCCCAATGTCTGTTGTACGTTTTAGTCCTTGTTTCCACTTTTGGTTTCTCACATCAGAGAAATGATGTGGTATTTAAATATGTATTTGATTTATTTCACTTAAGAGTATGATATCGGGCCAGGGATTTAGCTCAGTGGTTCCACCGCCTGCCTTGCAAGTGCAGGGACCCGATTTTGATCCCCGGTAACCAAAAAAAAAAAAAAAGAGTATGGTATCAAGGTGCATCCATTTAGCTAGAAAAGTCTCAAGCTCATCCTTCTTTATGGCAGAGTAGTACTCCTTTGTATTAAAAAAACCCATGTCTTTATCCATTCATCTGTTGATGCCTCAGCCTCTTGAGTACGAGGATTACAGGCATGCACCCCTACACACACCTGCTGAACATCTGTTTTGTGCCCTTTTGTTGCCTTACATGTTCAGAGTGGGTTGAAAACTAATTTTACAAAAATGAAAGAATAGGACTTGGCTCATTCTCAGAAGAATACATAGAAATAATGCATAGATTATTATGCTGCTAGACAGAAAATGACAAGTGCTAGAAGGAAGATTAAAAAGTGCTACTAAAATTCAGAAGGAGTAATTTACATCCATTTTGAGCTGTCACATCTTAGAGTAAGTTGTTTTATTTTTTTGTTTTGTTTTCGGTACCGGGGATTGAACTCGGGTCCTTGTGCTTGCAAGGCAGGCCACTGAACCACTGAACCGCTGAGCTAAATCCCCGGCCCTTTTTTGGTTTTTTGAGACAGGGTCTCACTGTGTAGTTGAGATTGACTTGGAACTCACTGTGTAGCCCAGGCTGGTCTCGAACTCACAGAAATCCTTCTGCCTCAGCCTCCTGAGTGCTGGGATTACAGGGGTGTGCCCACCATGCCCGGCCTATTTGTTTTATTTTTAAGACATCCTCCTTCCAAAAATCCCACATAAATTAATGGGAAAAATCCAGGCTTGGTGTCACACACCTGTAATCCCAGCAGTCTGGAGGTGGAGGCAGGAGGTCTCTGTGAATTTGAAGCCAGCCTGGGCTACATAGTGAGACCCTGGGGGCCAGGGATTTAGCTCAGTGGTTCCGCTGACTGCCTCAAAAGTGCAAGGACCCAAGTTTGATCCCCGGTACAAAAAAAAAAAAAAAAATCAAATCATAGTGAGACCCTGTTTCACACAAAAAAATTAATTAATTTTTGGGAAAGAAAATTAATTTTGTTTGGGTGGAGTTTTTGTTTTTGTTTTTTAATTTCTTGGGAAGCCAGGTATGGTGGTATATACCTATATTTTCAAGACTCTGGGAAGCTGAAGCAGGCAAATTCAAGCTCAACCTGGCCCATTAGTAACTTAACAAGACCCTGTCTCAAAAAAAATCTATATATCTGTATCTACATTGATATATCTGTCTCTCCTTGGGTTCCTTGTTGTAAGATAATTTTCAACATATGTCCTGCTCTGACCTCTGACCTGTTCCTTAGCTTGGTATGAAAGAAAGCTTAATGCCATCTGTCCCCATCTTTTTCTCCAGCTATATCGCTCATCTCACAGCCTATAATTTAATTGTATTTGAGCCTCTTTCATCCACATTTTCCACTGTTTCAAGGCCTCTTATATGTTCTGCCTATTTAGAAGACCTTCTCCCCTTCTTTACCTGGCAGATTTCTCCTTAATCTTTAACATGATTAAATGAACCTCCCCTTCTGAGAAATCTTAGATTTTCTTCACTGTGTTATTTGTCCTACCATGAGCTGCTGGTGTTCCTTGCATTTCCTTTGTCCTAGCACTTACTGTCTAGGTTTAAGTATCTCTTTTGATGACTGTCTCCTCTTCTAGATTATGAGATACCTGAGGATAGAGGCCATATCACATTGTTCTCTGTATCCTTAGTGTCCAGTATTGGGTCTGTCATCAAGCAAGGGACAGTAAATATTAATCAAGCTGAACCACAATGTGATTACTGGAGCTGCCCTGAGGTTTTGAAAATCAGTGTTGGCAAACGCATCCTGTTGTTTGCAAACAGCTGGCTCCAGGTGACCTTGGTTGCATGAAAGGGGTTGTACTCCCTTTGGTTAGGGCTGTAGGCTTTTCTCTGATGCCATGCAGTGTTCCCAAGTGGTCAGCACAGTGGTGCTGGATAGTGATGGAAGCTGCTCCAGGCCCCTCATTTCCTGCATGGAATGATTTCATCTGCCAGTTCATAGAAGCTCTGTTCTAAGTGCCTGTCCCTTGTAAACATCCCCTGACACACACACATTGGGGAACTGGACCGGTTAAACCAGAAGGGATCTTGTATGGTCTCCTTTCTCTACTAAGCCCAGAGGCAAGGAGAAACAATAAGTAATTTCTACTTTTTTCCCTCTTCATCTCGCTCTGGCCCACTTTGAGTTCAACATCTCTGAGACAGGGTTAATTTTTATGCTCACACACAAAGTACCCAGCCTTTATTCCATTTTTGATGGTATAATCCTTTTTCTCCTTTCAAAAGACTCGGTCTTTTTTTTTTTTTTTTTTTCTCACTGAGTTTATTGGAGCTGGGTGTAATGGCGCACACCTGTAATCCCAGCACTCGGGATGCTGAGGCAGGAGGATCACTGTGAGTTCGAGACCATCCTGGGTTACATAGTGAGTTCCAGGTCAGTCTCAACTACATAGTGAGACCCTGTCTCAAAAAAAAGAAAAGAAAAGAAAAGAAAAGAAAAGAAAAGAAAAAGAGTTTATAGGTGTACAGTACAGTTACATTCATCATTGGGATCTTGTACCTTTACGTGACAGGTCTTGGTAAGACTCAATCTTATAACTGCTGATCTTTGGGAAGGAAAGGGAACATCTATGTCACATCAGCTATACTTGTCAGTAGTACTAGTTTTACCTTTTATATGGCCTGTTTTATAAGTCTAAGTTGGTTCTCATCCCTCTGTCCTGTGTTCTTATCCTTGATGCTTCTCTGAGGAGGTAATGGGATGAAACAAAGCTTTGTCAGGCATATGTCTGTAATCCAAACTATTCATGAAGCTGAGGCAGGAGGATCACAAATTCAAAACCAGCTTAGGCAACTCAACAAGACTCTATTTCAAAATAAAAAGTTTTTAAAATGCTTGCCTACCATGTGCAAAGCCCTGGGTTCTGTCTTCAGTATCATAAAAACAAACATTGAAGATATAGTATTCCAGATCTTTTACACTAGAGGCCTGCCCTCCTTCTTAGTGATTTCCCTTTTTTCACTGTGTCTCAGGCACATTTTGTTATACACCAGTGCTCTCTACTACCTTTGTGCATTTGCACATACTCTTTCCTCTATATGAGATGACACTGTTCCTTTTTCCTCCATGGAGGAAGACACGGCTTGACTTGTGTCATTGAGGGATCACATGTCAGCATATCTCTAGACCTAGCCTTGTCTCATTGTATACATGTCATTATTCCTTCAAAGGCCCAGTATCATTCAGGTGAATTTTGAAGGCATCAGGGTTCTTATAGGGATTAATATTTTATAGAAATAAAAATAATAATTGTTCTTCACATTCATATTGTGCTAGATCATTTCTCCCAAGGTCATTGCTTGCCCTCACCTGTTGTCCAGCATCCATTCTTGGGGTAATAACAGCTCAGTAATCAGAGAAATAGAGACAGAATAATTCCTGTCAGTTCATAGTTGTTATATGTTCTCATTTCCAAGCTCTGAGGCAAAGAGTAAGGTATATCTTTTGTAACTCAGGCAATCTCCTATCTCTTTGTAGAATGGTCACTAGTAATGAAGATACCTTTTCCCTTGGAAACTTTATGCTATTTTTACTGTTGACTTAGAGGAGGTATCTGTCATTTCTGACATTTATTTTGTTGTAGCACCCATATGTATAGATTAGCCTCATGGCCTCAAGTCTTTGAGGCAACTGGAACTATTCCCAGAAAAATCACCATGTCAGAATCACTTCATCCTTGCATGCCTAGCTTTTTGGGAACAAAAGATTGCTTTTGCCAGTTTAATGACTTTAGGGCTAGATCAGGACTAGTTTAGGAAGATTGTTTCATACCAACGCTTGTGTTTTCTCCCAAATCTACCTCTTATAACTCAATGAAAAGAAAAACCACTGTTGAGCATATACTATGTGCCAGGTATTGTGATAAACAAACATTGATGAGGGCCGGGGATTTATCTCAGTGGTTCTGCCACCTGCTTTGCAAGCACAATGACCTGAGTTCAATCCCCAGTACCAAAAAAACAACAAAAACATTGACGATGCTCATGAGTGAAACTCAGTGTTTTCCTACAGAAAGCAGTCTGCTGGGAAAGTTAGTCTTCCAAAATCTAACTGAAGCCGGGCATGGTGGTGCATACCTGTAATCTCAGCGCTCGGGAGGCTGAGGCAGGAGGACCACTGTGAGTTCAAGACCAGCCTGGGATACATAGTGAGTTCCAGGTCAGTCTCTACTACATAGTGAGACCCTGCCTCAAAAAACCAAAAAAAAAAGTAGACATTTCTGTACAAAAAAAA